GGCAGGCGGCACACACAGGTGACAGGCACCCTCAGCATTAGTTGGCAATGCATACATGGCAGTGAGGATAGTTCATAGTGAAGAGCAAAGATATCTACCCTCTGCCTAAGCAGCTCCAGCCAGGAGGGGAGCTTAGCATCGTCGCCAAACTCTGTACGCCAGGCGTCACTCAGACTGGCGAAGCAGCGCGACTCTGTGTGACCAATCGTCCCGCAAGGCTGACCAGCCCGAGCACCAGTGCGAATGACGTACGGGCAGCGAGCAGTACTCCGTGACCCTGTACTCTGGGTGTACCACTCACGAAGCTGCTGGGGCGAAAGGACCGCGAGCGGACGCTGCTGAAGCTGCACCTCGTCACTACAAGAAGCTCCCGAACGACCCGCCCCAGGGGGACTCCCACCACGACCACCCCTACAACCCCAACTAGCGTAACACTCACGAAGCTGCTGGGGCGTGAGGGACTAACGTGGACGTCGCTGGAGCTGCATCCGGCCGCCAGGAGCAGCAGTAGCAGTAGTAGCAGTAGCAGCAGCAGTAGCAGCAGCAACAGCAGTAGCAGCACGGGCAGGGCGTGTGGCTCAGTAGAGCAGGGCTGCACAGCCCGGCAGCACGACATGGCTCGGCCGGGCGGCTCGGCGCCGCTGAGCGGCTCGGCTCAGCTTGGCGGTGCGGCTCGGCTGGCAGGCAGGCGAGGTAGGCAGGCTAGCGCGGCAGCGCGCTAGTAAGGCATGCGCGCGGGAAGCGGGGGTATGGCAAGTGCTCACCAGTGGCGGGAAGGGCAGTCGCTCGCCGGGCGAGCAGGGTAGGCGCACAACGGCGGCGACGGCAGGGTCGCGACAGCTGCAGGGCGGGGCCGCGACAGCGGCAGGGAGAGGGGGGGGGGCAACACGGCAGCAGCCGCACGGCGGGGCCGCGACTGCGGCAGGGGGCTCCGCGGCAGCTGCTGCTGGGCGGGGCCGGATGGCGGCTGTGAAATTGAACGAGGATGAAAAGACTAGGAAAAATTGGGTACAAGTACAAACCCTAGAAAGCTGTACCCCATATGTGCTACCCCACTATAGCCTACAGCAGCTAAGTCATATAAATCTGACACACCCCCATAGGCAACGTGGGTGAGGACAAGGGGTCACAAGACCAGTCAAGCAAAGCAAAGCAAGCTCAGGGTGGATCACAACGTCACCACACATTCCGAGCACAAGTTCAAGGCCACAAGGCCAGTTCACATTCAGGATTACATATATATATAAGGCTAAAAAAGCAAGAGCAGGTGTATATATATATGTAACAATACAAACAAGGTCAAGGGGTGAGCAAGTGAGGCAAGGTAGGCACAAGACCGAGCTAAGTACAGAAACGCTGATGATCACAAGGCGCAAGTGCCTTCGTGAAGATATCAGCAGTGTTGGCCTCAGAGGCCACGTACGCAAGGCGCAGCTGACCACACTACTGTAGCTCACGAGCAAGGAAGTAGCGAAGAGGAATGTGCTTCGTTCTGTGCTCCAGTCTCTGCTCGCGACACAAGGCCAGCATGGCCTTGTTGTCTACGTACAGCACTGGAGGAGAACGAGGCGGCTCTCCGAGGTCAGTCAGCAGGTAGGTGAGCCAGCGTAGCTCCTGTGCAGCCATGGCCCCTGCGTAGATCTCAGCCTCACAACTGGAGCCGAGAACAGAAGACGAGCGGGTAGCCCGCCACGAAACTGAGCCGGAACCAAGGCTGAAGGTGTAACCCTGTGACGACCGCTGCGTAGCCAAGTCGTCAGCCCAAGAAGCGTCTGCGTGCCCAGTGAGGACCACTGGACTCTGCCCTCCAAGCACAAGCCCCATGGCCGACGTACTACACAAGTAGCGCAACACCCTCTTCGCTGCAGCCATGTGCTCCGGTCTGTATCTCCCACGAGCAACATAGCGTGCGAGAATGCTAAGAGGGTATGCAAGGTCAGGTCGTGTGCAGGTCATCAGGTACATGAGGCAGCCAACAAGCTCTGGGTACGGGCCACTCGACTCTACGGACTCATCCGAAGGCAGAGCTGAGAGCGAGTGGCGAGTAGGCAGAGGAGTGGCCTGAGGCGAGGAGTACGTGAAGCGGAAGCGCTGAAGGATCTGCTGCACCATGTGTGACTGAGTCAGGGTAATGGTGCGGCGTGCTCTATCCCGGGTGATCTGCAAGCCAAGATAGCTACGCAGTTCACCCAGATCTGTGCACGTGTGTCTCTTCTGCAGCTCGGACTTTACGTGGGCGAGTCCAGCACTGTCAGCTGTGGCAATGACCAAGTCGTCGACGTACACGAGGATGTAGAACGGCGGCAAAGAAGTGTCGGTGCGCAGAAACATCGACGGGCCGGCAGTAGAGGGAGCAAACCCAAGAGCCGCAAGCGTAGTCCTCAGTGTGTCGTGCCACTCACGTGGTGCCTGGCGGAGACCGTAGACTGGCCGCCGGAGGCTCCACTAGGTGCCAGGAGGAAAAGTCCCAGTGAAGCCAAGTGGGCGGCGCAGCCAGATCTCCTTGTGCAGGCTGCCCTGCAAGAAAGCAGTGCTGAAGTCAAGAAAGTGTAGCTCGTAGTCACGGTGAGCAGCAACGTGCAGCAGTACCCGAAGAGTGGTCATTTTTAGGGTGGGAGAGAAGTTCTGAAAGTAGTCAACTCCCTGCCGCTGACTGAAGCCACGAGCCACGTAACGCGCCTTGAAGACAGGCTGAGAACCCGGCGGCCGCTTCACCCTGAAAATCCACATGCCACTGACGATGTTCGCCCCAGGCGGTGGAACCTTGTCAACGTAGGTGCCTGTGGACTTCCAGGAAGCCATCTCTGCGTCCATGGCTGCCTGTCATTGAGAGGTGCAGGGACCCTCTATCGCCTCCGCGTAAGAGCGCGGAGTCGGGATGTCAAGTGCATCCGGGTCTCTCTCAGGGGTAAGCAGTACGGACATGAGATGAGGTGAAGCAGCAGCCAAACACTGGAACTCCTCCTGCGTGTCCTCAAAGACGTCCCTGCCAAGGGCACACTCACCCCCGACGGACGGAGGACAAACAGAATCAGACGCAGAAACAAGACTAGCAGCGTAGTCTAGACGACAGCGAGTAGCAAAGTCGACGAGCTCAGCAACTAGGGCAGACGCAGCAGTGGACTCAAAGGAAGGGTCGGTGACAACAGTAGCAAGGAGACGCGTGACAGTCGGACTGGCAGCACGAAGGGAGTCCGACTCTGGGTCAGCAAGAGCTGGAAGAGAGGACTCAGGAGGAGAAGGCAAAGGGGCACGCAGAGGAGCAGTGGACGGACAGAGAGACATCCGGTGCGTGCCGGGCACAGGGGGAGGATGCGGACGCGAACCACGACCACTAGCGCGAGCAGCACGGACAGGCGACGCAGGACGAGACGCAGGCTCACGACGCTCAGCAAGACGTCCAGTAGGACCAGTGAAGGGAGAAGGAGCAGGCAGTGGGGAGGCCGGCTGAAACTGTAACTGTGACGGGACAGGGTGTGGACACTCTAAGGGAGGAGGAGGACCAGTAGAAGGCGGGAGACCAAGAACCTGCTCAAGGAGCGGAATGAAGTACGGCCGAGGCCGCGCAGCGACTCCAGACACAGCAGGGACAGCTCCAGCACCCCCAGCAGCTCGAGTAGCTTGAGGACCTCCAACAGCACCAGTAGTACCCCCAGCAGGACCGCCTCCAGTACCGATAGCGCCAACACCCTCAGCAGCTCCAGCTCTAGTCGGACCACGAGAAGAAGCAGTGGCTCCAACTCCAGTAGTACCCGCAGGCCCAGCAGCTCCAGTACTCCCAGTACGAACACCTCCAAGACCCGTGGCACCAGCACCCTCCGTAGTCGAAGAACCTCAAGCTCCAGAAGCACGCCTCCAGCGCCAGGCAAACCACTCACGCACATCCTGTGGAGAGAGTGGCTCCCGTCGAGACGGAGCACCCGGAGAACCTCCAGGCCCAGCACCGCCAAACGCCACACGAGCAGGCCTAGCTCCCTCAGGCTCCGCACCCCCAGGCTCAGCACCTCCAGGCGTAGCATCCCCAGGCTCAGCACCCCCACTCGTAGCACCCCCTGGCTCAGCACCCCCAGACTCAGCACCCCTTGGCTCAGCACCCCCAGTCATAGCACCCCCAGACTCAGCACCCCCAGACTCAGCACCCCCAGACTCAGCACCCCTAGACTCAACACCCCCAGACTCAGCATCCCCAGGCTCAGTACCCCCAGGCGTAGCACCCACACGCTCACCATCCCCAGAGTCAGCACCCCCAGGCTCAGCACCCTTAGCAGCACTAAAGTCACCAGCGACCTCCACAGGCTCGACTGCGTCTACCTGGGACACACCTGAAGGGGCAGGACCTTGAGAGGGAAGGGGGTCTACCGGGGGGGACCTGGCACAAGGAAGAGCAATGGCGGGGGGAGGGACAGAGTGCGGTAGGGGAAGAGACAGTAGTAGGGGACCGACTCATCAAACGTGACGTCCTGGGAGGACAGAACACTGTGAGAGGTGGGGTGGTAGAACTGCCACCCTGGTGCGTCAGGGGGGAAGCCAGGGAAGACGCAGGGAGCAGCACGAGGGGACAGCTTGTCCGCAGACAAGCCGCGGACAAACGCCCGAGATCCCCAGACACGGAACGCAGACGCATCGCCAACCTTCCCCATCCACAGCAAAACTGGGGAGGTCTCCGGCATGGAGACCGTGGGCTGAAGGTTGATCTCATGCGCCGCGTACCGAACCCCAAACGGCCACAGAAAATGGGGGGCAGCCGCATGCATCATGGACGTACGAGCGACGTCCATGACCATGCCAATGGGCGCTCAGCAATCCCATTTTGCTGTGGAGAGTCCGGAAGCGTGAAGGTCTGGCGGATGCCTCGTGCACGACAGTAGGCTCGCAGAAGGCCAGAGGAGAACTCTCCGCCTCTGTCAGAGTGCAGATGCAGAACAGGAAAGTTCGAGCCGAAACTCTTCCTAAGCTGAAGACGAACTGCGCGGATCCTGTCGATCAACACCTCAGTGACATCACCCCGAGTGAAGGGTGAAGGTGTGGGAGGCCGACGCCAACGCAGTACCTGAGAGAGCAGACTCACCAGCACTTGAGGAAGCAGACACACTAGCACCTAGAGCAGCAGCCTCGCTAGCACCTAGAGCAGCAGCCTCACGAGTACCTAGAGCAGCAGTCCGAATGCCCAGGTTGAGCGGAAAACACCGGTAACAGTCACCCTCATCACTAATAGTCACATCATACATGGCAGCAAGAATTGCATCTAAGTCAAGGTCAAAGATAGCTACTCCCGCCCTAGACAGCTCGCCCCAGCGAGGGATCTCAGTGGCCTCAGGAAACTGGTGACACCAAGCGTCCGTCAGGCGGCCAAAGCAGCGCTGGGTGGAGTGCGCACCCCCGCACGGCTCACCCGTGCGGTCGCCGATGCGTAGGACGTAGGTGCACGGACCAGTACCCCCACCCCGCTGGCGTGCAGTGTACCACTCACGAAGCTGCTGAGGGGGGGGGATCTCACGAGTACGTTGCTGCTGCTGCTGCTGCTGCTGGCGCTGACCACCACCGAAGCCGACCCTCTGCGCAGCGCCACCCCGACTAGCTCCACCTCCTCCGCCGCCGCCTCCTCCACCGCCGCCACCTCCACCGCCGCCACCTCTGCCACCTCTGCTCCCACCGCCACCGCCGCCGCCGCCTCCGCCTCCACTGCCGCCACGGACGCCCCCACCCCCGCCACCACCCCCACCGCCACCCCCACCCCCTCCGCCGCCTCCACCGCCGCCTCCACCGCCCCCGCTAGCTCCTCCAGCGCCCCTGCCCCCCTTGCCCTTGCCAGTGCGGCGTCTCCCGCTAGGGGCAGATGCCGCACCGACCGACTCAAGACCAACGAGGTCGGCCGCAGCAGCAGAGGCAACAGAGGGCAAGAGAGGAGAGGGGGAGCACCCCTCAAAGACAGGGGCACGAGGGTCACCACGAGAGGCTCCTACAACGACTATGCTCTTCTCTGCTACTAGGAGGCGCTCCTCGAGGAGGTTAACGGTGAGGGTGGTGGGGCAAACAGAGAGGAAGTGGTCCTTGACCGGGCGAAGGGTGTTACGGAGCCGGGTGACTATGTAGTAGAGGGTGATGTACATAGGGGGGGGGTTCTTGGCGCAGAACTCAGCGGGAAGGGCAGCGTGGTAGGGAATGTCACTAGTGCGAAGGTGCGTAATGAGGTCACCGACTGTGGGAAAAGCAGCGAGGTCAGGGAAGAGGTACGGCAGGATGAGGCGGCTAAGTGCAGCAGTGGCAGGGGAAGAGTAGCGTGCAACTACAGTGTCGTACAAGGTCCTAGCACTCTTGTACTAGCTAAAGTGTGCACACTCAGAGGTAGGCAAGTGGCGACGCACAACAAGACTTGCAGCAGCATCGCGTGTGGCCCACTGTGAGCGAACAGTGGCGTCAGCATCAGCAGCAAGGGCAGGAGAGGCACCAGAAGTGAGGTCAAAGAGGGAGAGACCGTCTGCCCTATCGCACTGTAGGAAAAGTTGCAGGTCATCTACCCAGACGTCAAAGTCAATGGCCCGACCCTCAGCGTCAAAAGCGAGGACGCTGGGGGTAGCCATGACAGCAGTAGACTAGCAGCGCGAGCAGTAGGCTAAGGGCAGCGCAGTGGTAGAGGTGCCGCTCTTACCGGACAGGGCGGCTCGGGCGGTTCGGTGGTTCGGCGGCTCGGCAGCAACTGCAGCTCGGCGGCTCCGCGACTCGGGCGGTTTGGGCGGCTCCGGTGGCTCGGCAGCAGCGGCGGCTCGGCGGCTCGGGCGGCTCGGGTGGCTCGGGCGGCTCGGCAGCAGCGGCGGCTCGGCAGCACAGCGGCAACGGCGGCTCAGCGGCGCCGGCGGTTTGGTGGAAACGGCGGGGCCACGTAGGGTGGCAGGGCCGCTGAAGGGACGGCGGCGGGGCCGGTTGGGGCGGCGACAAGGCCGCTGAGGGCGGCGGCAGGGCCACGAAGGGTGGCGACCAGCGCCTTAAGGGTGGGGCCGCGGGGTCGCAAGGGTGGGGCGACGGGGCCAGCACAGGCGGCGCCGGGGCCGCAAGGGTAGGTGACGGGGCCGTGAGGGTAGGCGACGGGGCCGTGAGGGTAGGCGACGGGGCCGCGAGGGTAGGCGACGGGGCCGCGAGGGTAGGCGCCGGGGCCGCAAGGGTAGGCGACGGGGCCGCGAGGGCAGCGTGGAGGGGTCGCTAGGGCGGCTCGAAGAGGCCGCGAGGGCGGCGCGAAAGGGCCGCAAGGGCGGCGCGACGCGACGGGGCCACGAGGGCGGCGGAACGGGGCCGCGTGGGCGGCGCGACGAGGCCGCGAGGGCGGCGCGACGTGATGGGGCCGCGAGGGCGGCGCGACGGGGTCGCAAGGGCGACTCGACGAGGCCGCTAGGGAGGTGCGACGCGACGGGGCCACTAAGGCGGCGCGACGGGGTCGTAAGGGCGACGCGACGGGGTCGTGAGAGGGGAGCGCGACTCGGGCAGAGGCTGAGCGCGCTCCGGGCAGGAAAAAAAAATCGGTGGGCCCTAGGAACAGTTCCTAAGGGGAACCTGCTCTATACCATGTGAAATTGAACGAGGATGAAAAGACTAAGGGAAAGTTGGGTACAAGTACAAACCCTAGAAAGTTGTACCCCATATGTGCTACCCCACTATAGCCTACAGCAGCTAAGTCATATAAATCTGACAGCGGCAAGGGGCTCCGCGGTAGCTGCTGCAGGGCGGGGCCGCGACTGCTGCAGGGGGGCTCCGGGACGAGCAGGGACGGCGCCCAGGGGGCGCCGCGACGAGCAGGGGCGACGAGCGCCGCGATGAGTAGGGGCGGCGTCCAGGGGGTGCCGCGACGAGCAGTGGGGGGGGGGGGGGGGGGGGGGGGGGGGGCACCGCGCGGGTCCCGTAGGGGCGTCGCGACGAGTAGGAGCGACGCGCGGCTCGGCAGGGCGGTGCGCGGGCTGCAGAGGCAGCGCCCACGGGCTGCAGGGGCGACATGTGGCTCGGCAGGGCGGTGCGCGGGGTGCAGAGTGTGAAAAGTTACTAGGAAGGCTTAGGAGCCATAGCTAGTAGATCGAGTGAGTTGAGTATCGAGCAAGTTGGAGAGGAGAAAGTCGAGAGAAATGGGTGTCAGAACATTATAGCTTACTTATTTGTGTAGGCTATAGTGGGGTATCCCATAGGGGGTACAACCCAATTAGGGTTTCCTATTTGTACTCACTTCGTTCATAGTCATTCATTCTCGTTCGCTTCTTCTCATGGAATCAGAGCAGGTTCCCCTGTGGGAACTGTGCTTAGGGCCCACCACTTAAAATTTTTTTTCTGCCCTAGCGCCTTGCGCCCTAGCGCCTACCCTAGCGCCCTAGCGCCCGCCCTAGCGGCCGCCTTAGCGCCCGCCCTAGCGCCTGCCCTGGCGTCCTAGCGCCCGGCGCCCGCCCTAGCGCCCTTTCGCCGCCCGCGGCCTGTCCGTGCGCTGCCGCCCGTGCGCCGCCGCCCGTGAGCGCCGCCCGTGAACGCCGCCCGTGAGCACCGCCCGTGAGCGCCGCCCGTCAGCGCAGCCGCCCGTCAACCGCCGCTGGTGCACCGCCGCCCGTGACGCCGCCGCCCGTGAGCCGCCGCCCGTGAGCCGCCGCCCGTGAGCCGCTCGCCGGTGAGCCGCCCGCCCGTGAGCCGCCCGCCCGTGAGCCGCCCACGACGCCGACGCCGCCGACGCCGCCGACGCCGCCCGTGCACCGCCGACGCCGCCGACGTCACCCGTGAGCCGCCGACGCCGCCGACGCCGCCGACTCCGCCCGTGAGCCGGTGACGCCGCCGTCGCCGCCAACGCCGCCCGTGAGCAGCCGACGCCGCCCTCGAGCCGCCCGTGCAGCCGCCCCAGCCGCCCGTCAGCCGCCCGTGCGCCGCCCGCGAGCCGCCCCAGCCGCCCGTGCTGTCGCCCGCAAGCCGCCCGAGCCGCCCGAGCCGCCCGAGCCGCCCGAGCCGCCCGAGCCGCCCGAGCCGCCCGAGCCGCCCGAGTCGCCCGAGCCGCCCGAGCCGCCCGAGCAGCCTGAGGCGTCGGCCTCCTGTTCCTGTGGGGGCTGCTGCTGCTCCTGGGCCGCCGTAGCTGCTGTGCTGCTGTGTGGCTGTACTCCTGAGCTACCCGACTCTTCCCGCCCGGTGAGACTGTCAGCTGCTATAATGGCCACCCCTAGTGTCCTGTCTTTTGACGCTGAGGGTCGCGCCGTTGACTTTGCAGTCTGGGTCGAGGACCTCCAGCTGTACTTACTGTGCGATGCGATCGATGAGGTTTCTCTCTTTGACTTTGTCTCTGGCGCTGTCCCTGCCCCTCCTGCTGATGCTGACCCCTCTGTTCGCTCCAAGTGGGCCACGCGCGATGCTGCTGCACGTCTTGCTGTGCGTCGCCACCTCCCTTCCTCCGAGCGTGCACACTTTAGTCAGTGCAAGACCGCTCAGGCCTTGTACGACGCTGTAGTTGCGCGCTACTCCTCCCCTTCCTCCGCTACGCTGAGCCGCCTCATGCTACCGTTCCTCTTCCCTGACCTCGCTGCCTTTCCCACAGTCGCTGACCTCTTTACCCACCTCCGCGCTAGTGACACTCGCTACCGCGCTGCGCTTCCTGCTGAGTTCCGCGCCGCAAACCCTCCTCCCATGTACATCACTCTCTACTTTCTAGTCACCCGTCTCCCTGAGTCCCTTCGTGCCGTTAGGGACCAGTTTCTCTCTGTCTGTCCCACCACCCTCACTGTCGACCTCCTTGAGAAGTCCCTGCTAGCGGCTGAGAAGAGTATCGTCGCTGTAGGGGCCTCTCGTGGTGACCCTCGCACCCCCATCTTTGAGGGGTGTTCTCCTTCCCCCCTACTTCCCTCTGTCGCCTCTGCTGCTGCGGCCGACCTCGTTGGTTTGGAGTCGGTCGGTGCGGCGTCTGCCCCCAGCGGTAGGCGCCGCCCTGGCAGGGGCAAAGGGGGCAAGGGAGCGGGTGGAGCTAGCGGGGGCGGTGGCGGAGGCGGTGGAGGCGGCGGGGGGAGTGGGGGTGGCAGTGGAGGTGGTGGCGGGAGTGGAGGTACGAGTGGCGGCGGTGGAGGCGGAGGTGGTGGTGGTGGTGGCGGTGGGAGCGGCGGGGGCGAGGGTGGCGGTGGCGGCGGTGGCGGCGGAGGCGGAGGTGGCGGTGGTGGAGGTGGTCGGAGTGGCTCGTCCCAGCGGAGCACCACTGGAGGTAGTCAGCGCCAGCAGCAGCAGCAGCAGCAGCAGCAGCGCTCTCGCGACGTCCTCACCCCTCAGCAGCTCCGTGAGTGGTACTCCCAGCGTCAGCGTGGTGGGGCGTTCGGTCCCTGCACCTACGTCCTTCGCACCGGCGACCGTGCGGGTGAGCAGTGTGGGGGCACCCACACCGCCCGCCGCTGCTTTGCCCGCTTGACCGACGCTTGGCGCCAGCAGTTTCCGGAGGCCTCTGAGATCCCCCGCTGGGGAGAGCTGTCTAGGGCTGGTGTAGCTATCTTTGATCTTGACTTTGATGCTATTCTTGCTGCCATGTATGCTGTGTCTGCTAGTGATGAGGGTGACTGTTACCGGTGTTTCCCGCCCGATCCGGGCATTGAGTCTGCTGCTCTAGGTACTGGTGCGGCTGCTGCCCTAGGTGCTTGCGACGCTGCTGCTCTTGGTGCTAGTGTGTCTGCGTCCTCAGGTACTGGTGAGTCTGCGCTCTCAGGTACTACGTCGGCTTCGGCCTCCCTCACCTTCACCCTTGACTCTGGGGCTTCTCGCTCCTTCTTTCGGGACCGCACCACTCTCACGCCGCTTAGTCGGCCGGTTGCGGTGTCCCTGGCTGACCCCTCTGGGGGTCCTGTCCTGTCTCGTTTCTCCACAGTCCTCCCGTGTCCGGCGGCTCCCTCTGGCACCCTGACTGGTCTCTACCTCCCCTCGTTCTCTACGAACCTGGTGAGTGGTGCTGACCTACAGGATGGGGGTGTCCACCAGTTCACTCTTGCTCGTCAGCGGGTGACACACTGCACAGAGGCTAGCACAGGTCGCCACCTAGCTACGTTTACACGTCAGCCAGGGTCGAGCCTGTACACACTGACCACTGCTTCTCCTCCCGGTGCTGAGTCTGGTAGAGTCCCTTCGTCTGGTCAGGTGTTTGCTGCAGCGTCCAGGTCTGGTCCTGAGTCTGCCCCCTGTTCGTGTCGCCGTCTGTCTCACGAGACTCTCCTCTGGCACCACCGCCTTGGCCACCCCTCTTTGCTTCGGCTCAGAGGCATGGCCTCCCGTCTCCTTGTGTCTGGTCTCCCCCGGTCCCTCCCTCCCCTTCCTCAGGGCCCTGGCCCTGCCTGTGTCCCCTGCGTCGAGGGGCGCCAGCGTGCTGCCCCTCACTCCTCCCAGTTTCCTCCGACAGAGGCTCCGTTGCAGACGCTTCACATGGACGTGTGGGGCCCTGCCCGCGTCCGTGGACTCGGTCACGAGTGCTACTTCCTGCTGGTGGTTGACGACTACTCGCGTTACACCACAGTCTTCCCCTTGCGCAGCAAGGGTGATGTCACTAAGGTGCTGATCGACTGGATCCGCGCAGCTCGTCTCCAGCTCAGGCAGAGCTTTGGCTCGG